GGTATTTCTAGCGCTTTTCCGGTCCGCCGGCCCAGCGTGCGGTCCCTGTGTGTCAGGTGCGGCGGCGGCGGCGCGAATCCCTGGTCGGCAGACGGCGGCTTCCGATCGACGCCGCAGGGTGAACGACCATCGGCGGCGCGGCAGATGTCCCGCGCGGGCCGAACGGGAGCTCTGCGGCGGCCAGAGTCGACTGATGACTCCGGGGACGGAGACGGACAGGTCGGGCAGACAGACAGCCGGCGCTGCTCCCGAGTCTGACAGTCGGCGCTGCCCAGATCTGGCAGCCGGACCATACAGAGACAGAGGCGGTCAGTGCGGGTCGCTGACAGACAGTAGCGGGTCAGTCCGGGTCGCTGACAGACAGTAGCGGGTCAGTGCGGGTCTCTGACAGACAGTAGCGGGTCAGTCCGGTGCCAGTAGCAGCCAGTAGCGGGTCAGTCCGGGTCGCTGACAGACAGCAGCGGGTCAGTCCGGGTCTCTGACAGACAGTAGCGGGTCAGTCCGGGTCGCTGACAGACAGTAGCGGGTCAGTCCGGGTCTCTGACAGACAGTAGCGGGTCAGTCCGGGTCGCTGACAGTCAGTAGCGGGTCAGTCCGGGGCGCTGACAGACAGTAGCGGGTCAGTCCGGTGCCAGTAGCAGACAGTAGCGGGTCAGTCCGGTGCCAGTAGCAGAACAGTAGCGGGTCAGTCCGGGTCGCTGACAGACAGTAGCGGGTCAGTCCGGTGCCAGTAGCAGACAGTAGCGGGTCAGTCCGGTGCCAGTAGCAGACAGACAGTAGCGGGTCAGTCCGGATCGCTGGCGGACAGTAGCGGGTCAGTCCGGTGCCAGTAGCAGACAGCGCCGAGGACAGTCCATCCGCACCAGCGGGTCAGTGGCCCGGTCAGACACTAATATGCTGACAGAACTGCCAGAGAGACCATATGACAGTGACCGGGGTCAGCAGCGGGAAACCCTGACGCAACTGACCGGCCACGAACAAACCATCAGCTAATGCATGTAAAGAAACGGCAGCAAAAATTTATGTCGTCATAAACTTTCAAGCATCCCTGGGTAGCCTCCGTCACGTCTTGAGTGGTTTTGCAGGCAACTGAGAAAATATTGCTTTTTGTCCGCAATGCGGTCGCCGATTCACCTCAGCTGACAGGTACCGCTAAAGTAGTGAAGAACTGTCGAAGCTGGCTTAGTCGGTCGAGACACTAAATTGTGTGGGTGGCGAGCGAAACGGCGGACCGTAGCATTGTGCCGCGGAGAATAGAGAAACGCACGATGGATAGTGAGCGAACAGAATAGTCGCCCGGCTTTGTTTGTCGATCTGGTTCATCCGATTTAGGTCAGGTTATTCTCCGACCGAATGAGCTGACCGGTGCATCTATCCGCGCTAACGGAGCGCATCTCGCCTCGCATGTGCTGTTAACGAATTGTAGGAAATCCCGGCACTTTGCGATTAGGGCATAGCGGGACGAATCCCGCCACTCCCAAGATCCGTCCCCGAGACATCTGAGCCGAGTCTCTGAGCGCCTCAGTCCGTGTCATCTCGTCACCTCACAGAACTCAGCATACCTCCCAACCCGACCAGCTCGCACGCCGGGCGCATTCCGCCCGGCCTCGCCTTTGTAGGTTTCCGTGCCAGGCCCGCCTAATGGGTGCCGTGAATCCATATGGTAATCCCAAAGGGCTGAACATGCTAACGGCAGCGGTAACGTTGAATTCTCATGAGGCCGTGCCGCGGCACACACGCGCACGGTTCCGGCGCCGGCCCGGCTCGGCTCGGGGTCCGTTCGATTCGGGGTCCGTCAGGATCGGGGTCCGCTCGACTCGGGGTCCATCAGGCCCGGGTCCGCTCCGTGGGCTCGTTGGGCCGGCCCAGCGGCTGGTGCTCCCGGCTCCGTGCCGGCCCGCTGGGACGGGAGTCGCCAGGAGCCGCCAGGAACGGCTCTGGAGCGCGGCGCCGACGTGCCGCTCCATCGGCGAGCGCTTTGTGTGCGCACGGCTAGGATTCCTCGTGTCGCCGTGGTCCGGCGGTGCGCCGGGTTTTTACGGGCCGCGTTGTGCGTATAGGCGCAGAGGCACGGCGCCACGGCATGTAACCCCAGCCGCGACGGGCGCGGTCCACTCATAAATACGTCGCCGGCCGCAGCCGTCGCGGCACTGCAAACAAAAAGCCGGTCCCTTTCGGCGGCTCCAATAAATACGGTCTCGGCGCGCCGTCCCGGACCGGAGGCCGTTGGAGCGGGCCGCGTCGTCCGGAGGTCGGAGAGGCCCACCCGTTCCCATCACCGCGGCCGCCTTCCCAGTTCAAAAGAATGTAGAGGAGCCATTGTAGCCGGTGTGGCCGGTAGAGGGTTACTGCGCAAGGCTGTTTGTAGGTACTCCTGAAGATTAAAATAAAACGGAATGTTCGATCTACGAGTAATAAACGGTACTTGAAATCAAGAGCTTAGCAAGTAATAACTTTTTACAGCATAAAACGGATGTTTGGAGTTCGACAAAAAAAAGCTGGACCGGCATCACTCGGCATCAACTCTAGATGACGCTGCCCAAACATCTTCCGGGTGCCAGGTCTGTAGTGAGTAATCTCGTGAGCTTCTCTGAGAGCTGTGACGTGGCGCACTCTCAGCCCCTCGCTCCGACGGACCCAACTCTCCGAGACGACCGGTCCACCACTCAAGTACCACGTTTGGCAACTCAGCTCTCAAGGTCTGCCGGACCAAACGCCGCGAGTCATGCAACCGGGGAGAAGAGTGGAGAGGAGAGGAGAGGAGAGGAGAGGAGAGGAGAGGAGAGGAGAGGAGAGGAGAGGAGAGGAGAGGAGAGGAGAGGAGAGGAGAGGAGAGGAGAGGAGAGGAGAGGAGAGGAGAGGAGAGGAGAGCAGAGGAGAGCAGAGCGAGCGGAGAGCAGAACGGAGCAAAGCAGAGGAGTGGAGAGGAAAGGAGAGGAGAGGAAAGGAAAGGAGAGGAGAGGAAGGGAGAGGAGGTTGAGGTGCAGAGAGATCAGATCAGAGTAGAGCAGAGAAGCGGAGAGAAGCAGAGCAGAGGGGAATAACATCGAGTGGATGGTGCAACCGGTGCAGTGAAGGGACACTGGGGTGACAGCTGAGCGATGAACGGGGGCGGGGAGGGCCGAGGGTAGCTGTGAGCGGCCGGTCAGGGCGGGCGTGTCCCGGCACCGACGGAGAGCACTCCCTCCCGTGATGGGTGACAGTGAAAGGACGCCGGCAGCAGGCGGCGCCAGCTCGGCGGCTCACAGCTCGGATGGCGGGGTGGGGACTGGTGGATGGTGACCGGACTGGTCCGTCTCCCCTCAGTGGCAGAGTGGCGACCCCGGCCACATGTCTCCGTGACGCGACTATACACCCACACTGAGCTCTCAGAGTCTGGTTAGAAGCACCGCTGACACTGCACACACAAACAGCAGCCGCTAGATGGGCTAACAACAGCCGCCGCCCGAGATAACGAGTGGACGGTGCCTCGTGCCGCAGGAATCAGCCTCTAAAACAATAATCATTGTCCACTCCAGAGTCCGTCTGCAGAGTGGCCGGTCGACCGTATCAGAAGAAGACAGATGGCGATCGATCGCAGAGCTGCGGCGCATTTCGTAAGCAGCAGCCGCAAATCCGCCCATCACGATCGAGTGCAGCGCGCGCGACAGCGGCATCGGCCAGCGAGAGGGCCGCGCGGAGCGCCCGGGAGTGCTGCCGCGCGCGGAGTGTCCGGGGCACGGGGAGTGCTGCGAGAGCACGCCGAGTGTCCCTGATAGTCAGCGGAACGCAGCACGAGAGAGATACGACAAAACGTGACTGGGTGACGGCCAGTACCCGAGGAGATGGACAGATCACACGCTTAGCCCGCGCTGGTTCCGGCATGTTCTGAGATGGACTACGATTTGAGATGGGTTAGCGTTTTGACCGTCGTACAGGGCATTATGTCATGTAGGCTGTATCTGTGGATGTGGAGACGCCGGAGCCGTTGGAGCGCTGTCAGATCGGTCGCTGATCTGAGCCGGCGGGCGCCGTACCGGTGTGGGACGCGCCCCGACACAGGTGCGGCGGGGACGGCTCGCCAAACCGGTGGACAGGCGGCGGCTGGTGTGCAGGGCAGTTTATTGCACTGTCGGCAGGTGCTGCCCGGAGGTGGCTGACGCCGCGGAGGCTCCCCGGACCGGTCTGCCGCGGGCGCCGGTCGAAGGTCCACCCACGCCCGTCGGACGGACGGCCGGGCGCGGCCGTAAGACCACTATGGGAGCGCCGCCTGGCCGGAATACTAACTACTCTGCCGTACCGGTGGCCGACCATACAGCACCGGAGCGCAGTGCCGCGCCCCAGGGACGGCGCCTGCACACCACCGACAGTTTCTGGGCCATCGCACACGCACACATTCCGCGCATTCCGGCTGGCCGGTGTAACAGTATTCGGTGGGTCGTTACAGAGCGCCCCGCCGAGTCGGATGCGGCGGCCTGCTGGATAAGACTTTCACTTGTGTATGTAATACGCCAGTGAGACGGAGCCACGAAGAGGAAGGGGTGACATAGGAGACAGTCCGCCCACTGACCTCATCTGCAGGCCCACCGAGGTCCGTCTCCACAGGGTGTATTTCAAACGGCATCCGTCTGCACCGGTTCCCCCTCTCTCGTATTTTCCGTGCGCGGGTTTGATGGAGCCCTTCTTGTCTGATTAACATTCTTCGCTGCACGCACATTGCCGCACTACAATGGTCACTGAGATGGAGCTGGACTCAGGTGTTCTCCACAAGTTTTTGTCGGCGAAGGAAAACCTCCAACGAGAAATCGAACGCTGCATTCTGCACTTCGCACAAACGACCATCATTAAAACCATTACCACGCTACACAACACACTTCAGTTCAACCCCGAGCCCTAGTTTCCCTTGGAAATAACGGAAGACAAACTGAACCAGGAACACCACATCGTTAATCAGCCCAAGAGGGGGAAACTGCAGGTCGCTGGTGTTTTCCTGTCGCCCCGTTGGTCGGTGGCCACCTCACCTTTCAGCGGGAACTCCAGTGGGTCTGTGCCGCTCTCTCAGCGTCTCTCGATCAGCGGCGGCCGGCCGCGCTCGCACGCACCGCCCGCACCAGCGTCACGCACCGCGCACCTCGTCTGGCCACGTGCGTCCGGTGCCAGCGCCGCCGGAAGGCTGCAGTGGGCCGCGCCGCGGCCGCCGCCGCCGCGCCGCCAGGTGTCGCCGGAGCGCTGCTCTCGTCGGCCGCGCCGCGCCAGGTCACCGGCGGGGCGGCGCCGCCGGCGCAAAGGTCAGAGGTCGACCGCCGTGCGGAGCGTCACTGACGGGAGCAGGGTGGTCCGCCGGTCTGGGACGGCTCGGGCGGCGCCGAATCACGCGAGCTGGGCACCCGGTGCGCCAGCCCCGCGTCGAAATCGAGCCGTGATCGGGTCAAAGCGTGTTTAGAATACAGCGACGACCGGCGCGACTTGTTACCGACCAGTTTGGTGGTGGTGTGTCAACTGGATAGGTTGTGAGATGATGTAAGGAAAATATTTGTCCAATGACGGTGTATCGGCACTCGGCTGGCCGCGTCCTCTATCGCTGATCAACACGTCAGCTCCCAACAGAAGCCCCCTCCGCCCGGCAAACCGTTCACATTACCCGATCATGACGAAATCCTCCCGTCACGAGACGCGGCTTTGTCAGCTGGGACGGGCTCAGTGGTGATTTATGCAATTGATTAATGGAAGGGGTGTGTTAGCGATTCCTGGTAAAGGTATCGCAGACCCTCAGACAACCGTGTGTCATATGCGCCGCTACTACAATGCACATTTACCTGATTATCGATGCAATTCGGCCGCGCAATTACGATGCACGCTGCCAATACTGCGATACTATCGCCGATTGTAAGCACTAATCGACCCTAACGTCAATATAAATTGCATATCTGACGATGGGCTGGGCGGATCATCCCAGATTTCATCTCCGGGAAAACTAACGGCCAATGGCAAGCCATAAGAAGCGCCGCTCCGACCGGCACAGAAGTGTCCTATAAATTCAATAGAGACTTTTTGTCGCCGGCGCCGTCACGTCGTGGAGGGAAATGTGAGGCAGTCGCTCCCTATCAGCGGAGGAGATTGAGTTTATTTACTCGGCAATCCGGGTACAGTGAGTGAGCGGCTTCAGTGGGCCGACTCTGCATGTATGGCACATTCGGAGACGGGCTACTGAATAAATGTGGGTGCATGAGCGACGAGCTGGTCATAGAATGCCACATTTTCATGCGCTGCATGCACAAAACTGATGTTTTGTTGTTCCACTGCAGGACCATTTGTGATAATCACAATATGTATGTCAGACAGGTGCTCGTTCGAAACATGTGCTCTTTTGGGGTATCGTAAGCGGCATGCCATGAAGAACCGAAAGCAGACCACCAGCCGCCTTTTCCAGACGGCCCAGTGCGGGAGCGGATATCGAACCATCATCAGCCGGACCTGCACCAGGTGGGAGCCGGCCGGGTCAGCAGACTGACCTGAGCCGGCGGTCCGCCAGCGAAAGGCCGCCGCCACAGACACCTCACCTGCACGGTGTCGGGTTCGGAAAGTCGGCCTCACATCCGTCCGTATGCGGCACCGGCAGCTGCCCCCGCCGGAAACCCGTGGGGAAGGTCGGGTTACCGGTCCCTTCCGCCGCGCGGTGCCGCCCGGTCGGCGCTCCCCGGAGACCCCTGTACATACAGCCGGCGCTCCCCGGAGACCCTGAGGGCGCCGCTCCTCGCTCCGGAGGCCCGCCCAGGGAGGCCGACAGCCGAGGCGGCGGACCGGCTCTGCACTGCGCCGTGTGGCGGCCTTCGGCGGCGCGACGCTGCAGAGGTGCACGGCGCCAGTCATCCGCCGCCCCGCCCCCGCCCCGGCCCGAGGACACCTGTCCCCTCCGCAGCGCCCACGCCCCTGTCGCCGAGGGTCAGCCGGGGGTCCGCCGGGTCCACTGGTCACCGGCCAGCCTCCAGGTCCCTCTGCTGAGGGTGTGCTGCCCTGTAACTATCCGGGACTGCCCGGGCAGGTAGCCGTCACCGAGCGGCAGTTGTTCCGGGGTGGTATAAAAACGCCGTCGGCGGACTCAGTCGGCCCACCCACCTCCTGCACGGCTGGGAGGATCGAGATGGATGCAGTGACGCAGGACCACCGGCAGCACGGAGCACGGGAGGCGACAGCAAGGTCAGTCCCTGGAGATCACATATGCAGTATGCAGGTTGTGGGGCACCGGAGAGGGCACATAACACAGCGAAGAGATTAGAGAGGGTGCATCACACAGCGGAAGGACAGGAGGGGGAAAATAACAGCGGAGAGACTGGAGAGGGCGCATAGCCACATAACACAGTCGAGAGACAGGAGTTGTCACATAACATAGCGGAGAGACTGAACAAAGCACTTTACAATCTGAGAGAGGAGATGGCACGGAATGGCGCTCATCGAGACAGCTCGTATCATCCAGGCGATGGGACCTTCGAAAGGAACAGAGGACGCCCTCTTGCACCAATACTAGCCCTGTCCTGGCCCGACGGCCTCTCTACAATGTAGCCGCTCTCTGGTCGTGCATCGAGTTCTGCCGGTTCCTGAAGCCGGAGGAGGCTTTCCAGGGAGAGCTGTGCTGCTGCAGGGCCACCGACCAGTCGGCCAGTCAGACGGGCGAATACCTCCCCGGGACAAATGACGCAGCGCGAGCGGCCGGCCGGCCGCCGGCGGCCACTGGGGTCGCATTACCATGTGCAGGACGTGAGTCTGACAAAGCACCCTATGCTGATCTGCTGCGCCGCCTCCGACGGCCTCGTGGTCAGTCTCATAGTGCTGGGTAGATGAAGTTACGATTTTCTTCACGGAGGATAAGCTATAGTGCATTTTCACTTTTTTCATCGAGCGCATGCATCTAATGGCTACGAGATAATTTAGCTTGAGCAGCTTCTTAGAGGCATGGGTGCACTCTATACTCTATAGGTTCATCCGCTATGATTACCAAAAGAATCTCCCTTTACCGAGTCCCGGGTATGTTTGTCGGCCGCTCGTAGCGCCGCGGCTAGAAAGCGTGAACGTCACTGGACAGGAAGGCAGCCGTCGTAACCATGGCTGGGGCCAGTGTCCGCCGGGACGGCACCGGCACGGGACAGCTGACCCCGTGGCCCCAGCGCCCTTTGTGTCCGGACGGCCGGCCGGCGCGGCTCAAAGGCACCGGCGACTGAGACGAAAGCCGGCCGGTGAAAAGCGGCCGGCGCACTTTATTCGTCGCCTTCCAGAAGGAGTGCACGCGCGATTGGACGCGCCTCCAGGTCGGCCCGGTGGATTATGGTAATGTGCGGCCGGCGCGCGTCCAGCCGAATCTGAAGGAGGAAGGAGGCCGCTGAGCCGGCCGCTGAGCGGCCGGAATGGGCGGTGCCCGGTGTGACACCGAGGCTGATCGGAGGGACAGCAGGGAGGGCTGACGGCAGTGTGTGCGTGAATGGGAATGGCTGTGGAAAGGTGTCCGAAATTTCGTCTGCTGTCAGAATAGAGCCAGCCTGCCGCACATTACCTGGCAGTTGGCGCACCGCCGCAGGTCAGCCCGTCCCGAGAGGCAGGACACCGAGTCGTGCTAACGGTGAACCCAATGGCAGCTTATACTATTGGACTTACCTCCACCGGTTACTGGTAACTATAGATCCCCAATCAGAAGATTTGGGTGGGTGAGTAAGGAAGGGTATGGGCAGGGCTCGTCGATAACAACGATAACAAACGCAGCAAGGTATGCATGACAGCTGCAACCAGCCGGTTCCACAACTGAGACTGAGCGCGATGGCGTTCCACTGGCCACTAGGGCCCCTACCGCTGCGCCCGGGTGGCTAAATAAGCGTCGTCCACCCCGCTCTGCCCGCAGACGAGCCCTGCTCCCGCGGTCCTTGGCCAGACGGGCGTCGTTCGGCGCCCCGACCGGACTCGGTGGCCACTCCACCCCTGCGTGATGTCATATGACAGCGACATGACAGCCCGGTTATGGCCGGAGCTGAGTGGTTGGGGCGGTGTCCTCGGCAGCCGCCGCTCCAGCCATGTGTCAATTGAATATGAGCACGCACCAAATACAGAGCAAACCCCTGTCATATCATAACCCTCGCCCGCACATGGGGGGGGGGGGGGTGGTTGCCACCCCCCCAGGCAGTCTTTCTGCTCTGCACTCAACATTTTTAGAGCTAGAAGGCTTATTTTTCGTATAGCTGCTTGTCTATCCTTTCTTGATGTCCACTGAAAATTTCGAGTTTCTGTGATTTTTGGTTTCGGAGATATGACCTTGTTTTTCAGGTCATGTCATGACCCAAATGGCCAATTCTCAACATCTTGCGTTTGCCATGGGCCTTGTAAGCTTTTGACACCCTGATTTCGGCCTTTTTTGCCAGTCTTACCTCCCACCTATCATGGAACATGTTGTTCGACGATGTACAGGGGTCAAGGTCAGGGTCAAGGTCAACCTAGGTCATCTAAGATAATTGCGTTTTAGGCAAGCTGAATTTACTTTTTGTGAAGTTTTTTGACTGCATTTTTGGTAAAAGCTTCTCAGATCATGATTTCATGTGATATGGACCCAAAAACAATCGGTGCACACATCAGTATACACACAGACACACACAGACATACAAACACATGTAATTGACCTTGACCTAACTTGACCTGAAATGACCTCAGCAGCAAAATTCTGGTCGGATAGTGTGACAAAGAGGTTCTAGCTTGCTTGGCACCAGAAAACAGCATCGTCATCGGTATTTGATAAGCAGCGCACTTGATATCCAACGGTGACCCAAAACAGCAACATTTTTTAGTTTGACCTGACCTGGAAGGTCAATGACTGACCTGAGAAGGTAAAACTGGGTATCATTGGATTCGTCTCTTCCCAAATAATTTTTTTGGTCTTTACTGCTAAGCTCTATCTCCAACAGGAACGAAATGGCGCGGGGGGGGGGGGTGGCAACCACCCCCCCCCCCCCATGTGCGTTCTAGGATGGGAAAATGGCATGTGCGGGCGAGGGATAAGGCATACCACCGATCGATAGCTGAATTTATGGAGAAGCCGCAACAGCCCACCAATGTCCCACGACAGTACGACTGTGCTCTCTGTTTGTTTATATCTCGGCGCTAAGAACTCGGCCTGTTCATG